ATTTCTATACAAGTTATTCTTAAATCGTAAATTCTCTACTATAAATTTTGTATAATTATTAGTTATAAAATTAATTTTGCGCTCTTTATCTCTCTCTATATATTATCTTTTAAAATATATGTACATTATAATTAACTAATTCTATTTTTAAACATTTAAAATTTCAACTTTGATATTTTTTTTAAATTAATTAATAATTATTTCTAGAAAAAGAAATTATAATTATTTTTATTTTTCTCCTTCCAATTAAAACCCTAACATCTAAAAATTATAATTTTATTAAAAGAACAAGCCTCGCCTCTCGTTGTTACAGTGCTCGTGTTCATGCTCATATTTGTGGCCCTCGAGCACGACTTTATCAGCCTCGATCTCCACTTAATCTTTCTCACTCTGGTTCTCTCTTCTTTCTATCTCTTTCTCTCTTGGTCTCTCATAGTCTACCTCTCCCTCTTTTGATTTATAAAGTAAAAGAAGCCCTTCGTCTTCCCTGATGCGTAGTGATGGAATTATCTCTCTTTATTTCTCGACACTTTGTGATGTTGGATAATCCTTCATTTTCACGTATGCGAATTAGCAAACAAAGTTTTTTTGAATGAAGTCAAACGGACTGTTGTTGGTTTGGAATTCATCTTTGTCTTCCCTCTATACTAAGCGACAAAGGCTCGGAGTATTACATACAACAATAACAATATCAAGCCTTTATCTCACTATGTGGGGACAACTACCTGAATTCTTTTTCTCCATTGTGTCTTATTAAGTTAAATTCTCATTTGAATCTAATAAAAAAGGTCATTTCTAACACTTTCTACCAAGTTATTTAGGTTTACCTCTATCTTTCTTAATATAGATCAGATTTAATTCATATACTGTTCTAACCGGGGTCATTGAAAGACCCAAGTTTTATGTGACCAAATCATCTTAGGAGACTCTCTAAATCTTATTTTCCATTGGATCTACTCCAACCTTTTCACGTATATACTTGTTTCGCATTATGTCTCCAAGTGTAAAACCACTCATCTACCTGAGCAACCTCGTCTCTTCAAAACTTAACTTAATTTTATGCTTCTCTTTTAATGACCAACATTCTTATCCATTAAGCATTGCAAGTCTCACCACTATCTTATAAATTTTTTCCTTAAGTTTGACGGGTACACATTTCCATCACACAACATACCTGATGCATTCCTTCACTTCAACCATCCAACTTGATTTCTACTAATAATATCCCAATATATTTTACAATCACATTAAACAGTAGACCTGAGATATCTAAAATGTACACTCGTTTTATGACTTGATCATCCATTGTCATAATCTCACTACTAGATTTATTACTACTAAAATTACACTCCATGTATTTGATTTTCAGTCTACTCAAATGAAAACATTTAAACTTTAAGGTTGACATATATAATTTAACTTTTCTTTTAACTCCGTCTCTAGTCTTATCAAGAAGAAGAATATCATCACTAAAAAGTATGTACTAGAATATCCTCTTAGAAATGTCTAGTAAGAGCATCCATGACTAAAGCAAAAAGATATGTGCTTAAAACGAAGCAACCATGTAATCCAATTGAAATAGGAAAAATCTTAGTCAAACCATATTGTATTTGAACACAAGTAACAACTCCTATATACATATCCTGAATGACTTGAATATAATTATTATAAAATCCTTTATTTTTTAAAACACTCCAGAGCACTTCTCTTGAAATTTTATCATATACTTTCACTAAATCATAAATGTCATATGTAGATCATCATGACTCTCTCTATACTTCTCCATCAAACCTCTCAAGAACTATATTGCTTCTATAATATACCTACCCGGCATGAATCCAAATGGATTTGAGAAACATTGGTATCACATCGTAACATATGCTTAAATAATCTCTCCCATAATTTTAATGTATGACACATTAACTTAATTCTTTTGTAATTCATACTTTGTGCATCACATTTATTTTTAAAAATAGGAACCAACACACTTCTCCACTTATCTGGCATCTTTTTAATCTTCAAAATAATATTAAAAAGTTTTGTAAGCCAAAAAATTCCATGAAATTTGTCTAATGCTATAAGGAGTTGATCTTCATGTAGTTTTGGTTTTGACAATATATTTGATTGGGTACCACAATGTCACACCCCAGTTTGACTCACCCTCTACCATGAACTGAAGTATAACAGAGAAAGATTTCAACGTATCAAACTCCACACTTAACAACAGGAAGCATGTAATATACCTTATTGAACCTCAACATAATTAAAACAAATACAGAGCTCTACTAAAACTTTTAAAATTCATTCACATTCCCAAAAGTCTTTACATCTAGCATTCAGATCTCGCTTTAGATCTCTTGCACCCCAAAACATACTTACATCAAAAGAACGGTCACCTCTTTTTATTGTTCCAAGGGCTCCTTCCCCTTTCCTGCAGTACAACCACTGCTAATGAGCTTGGCTCAATGAAATACACAAGCAAGTTATAAGAAATAATAATGAACCATTAAGAAATACCATAACTATGCTAACATAATTAAAACACATATTGAAATGTCATATTGAGCCTGAAAGTGCCTAGCAGTATTATTTATCTTACCAAAACTATTCCACATCTTTAAATAAGTTATAGAATGGCTATAAGCTTTTGCACCATTCAACTTTCCAATTCAAGGTTGGGTCTAATTTCCCAACTTTTAGAATGGAAGTTGTTCTCTCATTCAGGGTTGAGTCAAATTTCTCAACTTCTAGAATTAAGAGTGTAGGCTTACCTCATCAGGTCTTTCGCCTTTACTTGTGCGGGCCTATCCCCCATATATAACTTATTTCGCTTTTCATATAGTCATCCTTTTTAGAGCTAATGACATATGCTTTTGATGATATAGTTGCGCTTTAGCTGCTCTTCAGTTACCCTTTAGCTTCCCTTTAGGTGCCCTTTAATTGCCCTTTAGTTGCCCTTTAGGTGCGCTTCAGGTGCCCTTTAGGTGCGCTTTAGGTGCCCTTTGTTTGCACTTTAGTTGCGCTTTACTTTTGCTTTATGAATATTTACCCTTCTATGCTTACTAAATCATTTACATTGCTAAAGATTATCCTTTACATAAACAATTTCATACTTATACAACCATATTCATACAAAATAACCAAAATCAACTAGAATACATGTGATTATAAACATAATCAAGAAGATGTGCAATAATAAAACATTTACTAATTCTTATAATCTTGTTTGGGTATCTCACCTCATGAGGAATTGGTTCTCCTAGACTCAACCTTCTTTCCTTTTGTAAATAACCTTCACTAAACTTCCTCATTCAACAGCACACCTTTTTCAAATTTTGGTCACCACTGTACCAGTTCATTTCTCAATATTCTTGAATTAAGTAACCACCACCTTCAGCTATATTTTAGAAATTCCAAAATTGTAATTCAACACAAAGATTACAGAAATTGCTATCTCAGATTTCTGAAGCTTAAAACTCCCACCTCAATTTCATTACATGATAAATCAGCTACCAAGCTTGAAATTCCCACACACAACCCGCCTCTTTCAACTCCAGTTCTCCCACAGCTTGCAGAGCTTCGTCTCTTGAATGGGAAGGAAAAATAAAATTAAAGAATGGCTACAGGTGTTGCTAATATAATAATATAACCATTCCACTAAAAAATGCATTCTTTATTATAATACTATATAATTAATTCCACTAAGCCACTATACATTAATGCTATCCGTTGGATGAAGTATGCGAGAGATCAGCCATTGCATGTCAAGCTAAGTGGATATGCTATAGTAACCATAAATAGGAAAATGAATTATTTACTTTAGCAATTAAATCATTTATTTAAATTAATGCTAATTATTATTACAGCTAATACTTTTAATTATGTGTTTAGAACAAACTCATTTAAATGATAACATGCCTTTTACATGAATACAGATAATTATACTATAAGGATCAAAATTAAAATTAAAAGCTAATAAAATAATTTGACATTTTCCATATATGAAAACAAATAATGGATGATTTTATTGAGAAATATTCCTACTTACTTTAACAAACTTTGGGTATTATACACAAGAACTGATGTGAGGAGCACTAATGAGAAAAGATTTATGTCGGAGCTTTGTGGAAATCACTAATGATATGCATGATGGAGCAATGCCTAGCATTAGAAGTAAATGTGGTGATTGAAGAATTCTCAATTGCAGTACGAGTATTATTAGGATAAATATTGGGGTTTGCACTATGATATTGGATATGGAGATGCTTATAACTGATATTCAGGATTAGGTATTTTCTTGCATGCTATTTGTATATATATTTGTTTGACAGATGAGGACACTGTTGAAATCAATGAAAAATAGAGTAATGACGAAAAAGTTAGAAGATAAGGAGCTTAGAATAGTTTGCACAAAGATTAAGTATATGATTATGTAATTTTAGTGGATTCGAAATTGATGATTAAACATTAATGTTGGAAGGTCAGTTCACAGTTAAGTGTAATATATTTAAATATTTTGAATCCATTATATAAATAATGAGGTGAAGATGGTGAATTCAAAATTTGAACTCTGACTGTTAAAATTAAGACATGTTTTGGGATCACACCATGATAAGTGAATTTTATAAATTGACTTTTTATTGGCTATCTTTTATTGACTTGAATGACAAATAAGTCAATATTAGCAAAGTTGGTTGGCCTAAAGTCGGTATTGTGGTGTGGTAAAACTGTGGTATACAGTGAGAAATACTAAATATTCAAAGACAATGGGAGTACAACTTATGTAAAACATGATAGTGGAAGATAGATTTTGGGTTTGAGCATGTTAATGGAGGACAACCGATACAAGAAAATTGTGGGAGATAGATAGAATCTGTAAGAGTTTAAAAAAGAAGGTATACCATAGGTAACATGGCCAACAGATTTGCAAAACACCTGCATATATTAGACTTGGCACCTCACACTGCACTGAACAAGAATACATAGAAGAGGATGTAGAAAACTACCTCCAATAGTTGGGCTAAGTATAATAATGATAATGGAGATGAAAGTGTTGTTAATTGTAAAGTACATGTCTTTTATTTAGTCTTAAATTTCTATTAAGTTATCCATGAGAAATAAGTGATTTTGTATTTTTTCAGTTGTTGGAAGCTCTGCCTTGTGTAAGTTTAATTCCAGATGGTGATCAATATTTCGGTTTGTGCTTTTACTATTACATGATGCTAAGCTGTAAGTGCAATGGAGATGCTAAAACATCCATTTTTTTTTTCCAGATTCTCCATTCCCTCTCGCTAATGTTTTTTACTCTTAAATGTGTCTTATATTTTAGATGAGTAGTTTTTAGACATATTTTTGTTCTGAAGCAAAATATGCTTTTTGAAATTATAACTGATTTTGCAGTAATAGATTACGGATGTTCCATTTAAACTCTCATGTTACTTATGCCACTACTTTTCTTGTAATCCCTACCTCCACTAAGAAAAGAATAACAAGTGAACTTGTCATATTAACAATGAAGCACTAATGTTGAACCCTCTTCCAAGTGTTTAAGTTGGTGTCTTTTCCTTACCATAGATTGCTAATTATACATTCAATGTGGTGACAAGAACCCATGTCGCTTGTCATACTCTGCAATGAATGAATTCGTCATGCTCAATGACATGTTATTTGTTTTTGATGATGTTGATATATTACGTTAGTGACTAGTTTACCCTTTCCTAGTCCCATGGATGTATTCAGTGAAGTTACTCCCATAATTTTGTGCCCCCTTTTACTCCGACTATTCATGATTTATTATGGTGATGTAAGTTATTTTTCAGTGCATCGTTGAGGAGGTGCAGGCTCCCATACAAGCTCGTTCACGTAAAGGTCGATTTATATCTGGGTAATTGTTTGTCAGTGATTACTTTGTTTCTCCTTGAGTGAAAAAAGTCATTCTACCTTTATGATTTTCATATATTTTCGAAGTTAAAAAGTGCAGTCTATTTGTAGCTAGGATAACTAACGAAGAAAAATTTATTTTATCCCAAGTAATATGTTGAATTATGCTCTCTTTCTAGGGTTTGTTGTGTAGACATTGTCTCTATTTTCCTCTTTTTAGGATTTATTAACCATTGAAATTCAGACTAGTTTCTCGCAGCTGCACTAATATTTTCTGTATGGTTTATGCATGATTTAAATTCTTTTCATTTGACATGTCTTCATTGTGAATGCCTTAATGGTTATTTCTGTGATGCACACCTGCCTACTTTACTGAATGGTCATGCTTGGGTTAGTTTTGTTTCCTTTTTTTAAAAAACTAAAACATGTTTTGGTGTTCTCCTTATTTTTTGTTTCATAACAAAAAATAGAAACTTCGTTCGAAATTGAAAAATAAAACTAGAAATCATCCATATTTAATAGCATAAATTAGTATTTCATACATAATTAATTAATTTAAGTTAAAATTATTCTAATTATGTTTTATTTATACCCTAATTAAGTGAAATTGTCATTCTAATCTCAATTTAATTGACTTCTTAGGTTAATAAACATTGTAAGTAATATATATATAATTGGTAAAATTCAAAATTTCTTAATATTTACTTTATTAATTGATAACTTTGTTATACCATTTCAAATAATAAGAATTATTTATTACTAAAATATAAATTATCATGATTAAACTTTAAATAATCTCTGACTAGATTTGACATTTACTTCAGTTATTTAAGGGTTAGTTACTGCTTCCAATATTGATTGTGATGAGTAAATTTTAAGGAAAAAAAATAATTTAATTATAATCTTAAATTTTTTCATGATTAACTTGAATAATTTCATAATTCTCTATTACTTGGCTAATTGATTTATTAAGTAATTGCCTTTGGCTTAATTATCATTGTTAAGTATTGATTAAATCTTGAACATATTTACTAAAATTTAATTATTCTATAATTAGGTTAATTAAATAATAAATGACAAATTATTTTGAATAATTAATCAAGTAATTTATCATACTAGATCCAACTATTATGATTAATGGAGGCTAATCAAAATATTATTTGCATTAACTTATGGAGCACTATTCTTATTGTTCGTAGAGAGCTATCAAACAAAACAAAAAAGTTTTTGCGGCATTAAACTTTGAAGAAAGTTGAATTGGTGGTCGGAGGTGTGACATCCCACGCTGACCCTCTTACCAATCAACGTGGGACGCAACAAAGAAAAACATACAATTTATCTTTCACTCTAAATTCATAAATATTTTAATATTTTTCATGACTTAATTCATCGCATTCATCAATGAAGCAAAAGCATTCCAAATATTCTATTTATAAGTTGTGCATACATATTGAGCAACCAACCCAAAAATATTTTCATAACAAATATCCTACATTCCTCAGCTCAAGACCCATCTTATACAGAGCTATACAACAAAATATAAGTTTTAAATTGACTTTGATTCTACTGTGCCTCTATCTTATTCTTGCTCTTTCCTGAAAAATTGTTAGAATAAAATTTTGATGAGCTATGAGGCTTAAAAAGATATGCAATTCTAATACAGAATTTAAGTATAAAAAATAATGAAAAATATGAATGTATTTATAACAGAACAAAATTTATAACTAAATATCATTTGTATTCCAAACATAAAATTTCATAAGCCGTTTAAAACATATGTTTACATAATTAGTAATAGCAGAATACTTGTCAAAATGTCATATATAGAATAATATCTTGTCTGTTACGGATTTAAATGACTAATCTTTAATTTGTTAATTACATATTCTTTTTAATAATTATTTTATTTTCACATTCCATTTTTTCTTAAGCCTAGGAATATGTTCTGTCTAGATGTTTAGGTTTTCTGACGTATTATCATAACATTACTTAGCCCTTAAGGCTTTATCATCATGTTCAATAGAGCCCATGCAACACCCAATGATATCATTATTGAACTGCATTGAGGTTCTAATGCTTTAATTGGGGTCCCTGTTGCCCTATTGCCCTACCTGTGCGTGTATCATAACATATTATTGCCACCCATCAGCTAACATGAGATTCCTTAGGATTAGCAGTTTTTGATCCATGTATCTAATTTATAATTTAATGTTTCATAATTATTTAAAATAATAAGTAATACAATACATGCATAGAAAGGAACATGGTAGATAACCCATTGCTTTACTTTTAAAAATTTTATCAATTAGTGAAACTTTATAATCGTCAGATACTTAATTCTTGAATGTTTAAAATCTATGCTGGATTGTTTGGACGTGAATACTATGCTGTGAACGTTCATTATTCAATATGAGAATTTTCTAATGCATTTGATTCTTTAGCTCGAATGCAAATATAATGCAAACAGACTAAATAATTTGCATCCTGAATTAGGCATTTGCATTATCTTACCAACGTGATGAGTTGCCTCCTCAATTCTTACTTCTCGCAGCTTTTTACGTTTGTAAATCACCTTAAAACTTTCTTGTTATATGCCACTTGAATCCTGAATTCCCTTCCTTATAATGCTTGAAACCTCTTTTATTCTGCCAGTAGCAATTATTTTAATTAAGTAATAATAAAGCTTAATGATAATCATTTAAGTTATAATTTGTCACTAACTAGCTTTGATAATGACCAAGAATTATTGGTTTAGTTGTTAAATCAGTTAGTTAAACCATAGAAAATTATCAAAATTATTTAATATTTTTGAGATCTTAGTGATTTTATTTATAACTTTTTAATTCCTAATTATTCTTATTAACATATAATTAACTTAACTAATATAGTTAGTCTAATTTCTAAAAAAAATAAAAAAAAAGTTTAATTACTGAAGCCAGTTACTTGGGCATGTTCCAGGTCTGGTAAAAACATCCTTATTTGTCAACTTTATAAGTTTATTTTGATAATTTGCTTGGTCATTGACTATAAGAAAACAAACCTATCTTTTTCCTCAATGATTTTCTGGTATCTTTAATGTCTTGTTTTCTTATACACTTTATTATAATTGCCTATAATTAGAGCAGAAAATTGCTATATCATCTGCTCTCTGGAAATATTGTTTTTTCCAGAAATTGCCTTTGTCTTCTTCCCCTGTAAAGTGCTTGGAAATGAGTTATGAGTTGTAGAATAGTCTGCGTTTCCTTCACAAAACGTGAGAATTGACTTTGTTGGTATACCAATTTTATTTAACTTATTTCTGGGTATTATTTCATTTCCCAACAGGCTTTTCTGCGAAGCAGACTAGCGTTACATGAAATTAATTATTGGTATTTACTCAAAAAGAAAGAAAACACTGCAGTGCTTTTATATTAATGTTCTGATAAGTTACTTCTCTCTTATGCAGCCATGCACACCCTGGTAGCCCATATGTCTTTGGGCTCTCTGGGGCTGATCATGATGTTGATTTCCCAGAACCGATGCCTGTAATTGGTAACCTTATATGTCTTTTAGATATTATGTTTTTTCTTATATTATTTGTTTGCTAAGCCTTTACCATCTTGATTAGCAAGCTATTATGATTTCATCTTGTTTTGACAAGTGTGCGTCATAGATGTACGGTCCTTTATCCATGTTGCAATCTTAACAATCCATGAATCATTTTAAGTTTTAAATTATAATCTCCCCTTCAATCCAATTTAGCCTATTCTCAACTAGGCTGCTAGCATACCTATGCATTGGCAAATTCATATCTGCACATGGATCTTAAGGTTGTTGGCACTTTTTTAATGCTAAGGTTCTTTATGAGAAATGGAGGACCCAAGTAGAGTTGGGCTTTGCTTAACAGGGAATGTATCTGAAGGAATAAATATACCATTTAAATTGGTTAACATATGAGAATTTATTTTTGTATCTTTCTTGTACTTGAAATAAATTGAAGACTTGAACGAAGGTGAAGATAAGAAGTCAAATCTGAATATTTACAATTTTGAGTATTAAGGTTTTCACTTCCTTTTCTCATTCCAAGCCCTGCCATTCAGTGACATCTTGATAATAATTCTTTAAGTTTGTTGTTGATGTAAGCTTCTAAATTTATGGCCATAAGAAGAATTGCAAGCTAGTTGCTTCGGATCCATGTTTATTTTCTCTTTTATGTAATTTGTTGAAAGGATTATTATGCTTTTTGTCTTTTGAGTTTCTAATGGCATTTGTCAAGCCTCATTTTGACCCCTTATGATCAAGCATAAGACGTGATGGACGAGCAACCCGACCAGGCACATTTCCCTTTGTCGCTCATCTTGTTTTTCAGCAAATAGGGTTGAGTAGGTAGAAAATCTTTTCAACTTTATTGTCACAAATTAGATTTTTTTTTTAAATAATCATCTATTAGATCCATTATAATCATTTATACTCATTCACAATTTAAATGCCACATTGAACTATAAAGCTTCTAACAAATCTCATCTATAATTAATACATACCAGATGTCTAATTTACAACATATCCATTCTTCTTCTTTGATACACCCAAAACTAGACATCAAAACACTAAGACGATGGACAAAATTTTGTCACCTTATTATGGCTCAACCCGCTTCTTTCTTCAATTGAAAAAGAATCATATAAATATTTGGTCAGTTAAAAAACTCAGTGGGACTAGCCACTCTAATTTAGAGTTCAAAATATAACAAAAAGGGGGATAACAGTTATGTTGGTTTTTAAGTTGATATGAGTATCCGTAACATTAGAAATAACGAGCTTAGTGTAATATATATCAAATTAAGACATGATTTAACAAATGAACATGTATAAGGATACAATAATAAGCAATAACCATGAGTGTATGAAAGGAATGAATGGCGATTGTTTAATATCCAATCATTTAGTGTATCATGTTAGATACTAGTATCTAAATACCAATTCCTTTTATTTTTTGTTGTCATTCTTACTTGTTATAGTGATGAGGGCATCCGACTTTGGAAAGTTTATCAGAGGTACGGCTTGGGATCTAGGACTACGATCGGATTATTGTATTTCTGAGCATTTATTTGTATTTGATTTATTATGTGTAATTTTTCATTTTTACCCTCACTTGAGGGAGTAGATTTATGTGACCCTAGGAGACACATTTGTCTTTTGATGCTTTATTGTATTTTGTATATTTATAGGCCTTCCTGCTTGGGAGGATGATGGTTATTATGAATGAAAATTTTTGCACTTTGTGTCTAGGTGTGTTTGAGAGCCTTGAGAGTTCTTGTGAGAGCTTATGTGAAGTCCCTAGGTGAGGGCAAAGCAAGACCTGTCAGCCGCAGGAAGCATCCGGGCTCACGGTTTATCTCCGCCTCCACCCCCATTGAGCTTGCCACCACCGTCATCTCCTTCCAATGCTCCAACCGACCACTTCCTTTCTCCTCCTAACCTTGACTATGCAAAACCTCTCCTTTCCCCCCTCTTCATAGCCGCCGACTACCTCCTTGTTCGCATGGCTGAAACCATCATGACCCCTTCTTCCCGTTCCCTTGAAAATTTCAAATTAATCATCTAATATTTTCTTAAATTAGCTTAGCGTTAATTTTGGAAAATCTGAAATTCAAATTTGAAATATCCTAAAGCCTTTAAATCCTTTCCCAAATTATCGGGTTATGTTCGGAAATATTTCCCATTCAATCAATTTGAATATTAATTGGAGATCCCAATTAATTTCCCTTCCTAAATTAGCCTAGTATTAATTAAAAAAAATCTAAAATTCAAATTCGAAACCTCCTAAAGCCTTGAAATCCCTTTCCAAATTATTGGGTTATGTTTGGAAAGATATCCTAATCAATCATTTTGAATATTAATTGGAGATCCCAATTAATTCCCCTTCCTAAATTAGCCTAGTTTTAGTTTGAAAAATCTGAAATTTAAATTTGAAATCTCCTAAAGCCTTGAAATCCTTTCCCAAATTGTTGGGCTATGTTTGGAATGATATCCTAATCAATCAATTTGATATTAATTGGAGATCCCAATTAATTCCCCTTCCTAAATTAGCCTAGCGTTAATTTTGGGAATTTGAATTCAAATTCGAATTCTCCTACAAGCCTTGAATTCCTTTCCTAAATTGTTGAGCTATGTTTGGAAGGATATCCGCATCAGCAAATTTGAATATTGATTGGAAATCTGAATTAATTCCTCTTTCCTTAACTAGTAAGCTATCGTTGACAACCCCACTAAGGTCCCAAATCAGCCCCCTAATCAATTAGTGCTTGCTGCCCCTCAATTTCATGCTAGGAGCTTGTTGTTTCCCTCCCAAATCATCACAAAGACAGCCGCTTACTGCTGAAATACAGGATCAGCCCATTTTCCAGCACCACTACTGGTTGTTCCAGGATTTGGTGCCTATATAGTTGCTTTCCAGAATTTCTGGAGACATTAGAGTGTTGTTTAGGTGTGCAAGAGGGTTCGTATTGCTGTCCTTTCCACATAGGAAGCCAAACGACTTCGCCATAGCGTAGTATCTTCTTCCGTGCGGGTAAACTCTTCCCCCCTTGTATCTTTTTGATCCCTCCTCAATCGTGGCATCATTTTCTTATGAAAACTTATCCGCTTAGCCTACATCAAGAGCGTTGTGTGAGTGAGCCTTTGTATTGACTAATCTATTTGTTAATTAGGGATTGTCTCTAATACACCACGTTAGCATGCTATTAATTAATCTGTTTTTTAATGGTCCTCCCATTAGCATGTGATTGTTTTCGTAAACTTGATTGCCCTTTGAATGGTGAAGTCATTGCTTAAGTTCATCGTGAGTTAATAAATTGTTATGCTCTATTCAAGCACGCGTAATTTTCAAATCAACATCACTTTCATATATAGTTCTACATCATATTGTCTTAGAAATGTCAAATAATACCTGTTTACATTTTGCCACATTTATATATAATATAATCATGTAACCCGTTGGCCCATAATATTCATTGATAAGGGTTGGCGCATAATATTCATTGATAAGGGTTGGCGCATAATATTCATTAAGGGTTGGATTTACTCCAATATAAAAGTTATCGAATGACCCCTCAAAGTTGGGACCCCCCTTTTAGCCTTCATTAAGGCTTATCTTAAAATAACTTTTGCCTTGTGCAAGTTATTATAATCCGCCAACCTACCCCACACGATATAATCTTTAATGGACTTTCTCTTTTGGTAGAAGTATCATAAGTATTTAAACTATACATAACTTTTATATGTACACACATTGTTAATCAGGATCAACCTATAAATATGGCGTAAATTTGCAATAGGTTTTGTAACATATAAATTGTTAAATATTCATGGTTGGCCATAAGACCTGCTCAATATGGACATGAAAGGCAAATATTTTCACTGGTGAACATGTGCTATGTGTTAGAATTTTTGATACCATTAGATACTATAAACATACCCAATATAAAAAAAACATTTACAAGCACGAACAAAACAGTCCAATGTAATTGTAGGAATTCACACACATGAGGCCTAAAATAAATTTTCTCCTTAAATTAAATATCGAATATTTCGTCACCAACAATGGAGTATAGTTAAAAAATATTTTCTTACTTTTATTCTTCTTGTTGATAAGACTAGAGAGGGAGTTGAAGGTAAACTTGAATTATGGAGGTCAACTTTAGAGTCTAAAGATTTTCGCTTTAGTAGATCTAAAATGGAATATATGGAATGTAATTTTAGTAGTAATAGTCATAGTGAAGGGATTGTGACTTTGGGCGATCAAGTTATTAATAATAGTACACGCTTTTGATATCTTGGATCTATTGTTCAGAGTGATGGTGAAATAGATGGGGATATTATCAGCATAATTCAAGTTGGATGGTTGAAGTGGAGGAATGCATCGGGCTTGTTGTGTGATAGACATAACCCTCTCAAACTTAAGGGAAAATTCTATAAGATGGTAGTGAGGCTTGCAATGCTATATGGTGCCGAATGTTGGCCATTAAAAGAGAAGCATAATACTAAGTTAAGTGTATATATATATATATATATATTATATGATAAAAATATTAATTTTGTTAATTTAAATCAATTCCTAGTTAACAACATAAATCTAACTTAAATAACCTCAAAATAACAACTCAAGGATTTATCCCCGTACAAGCATTTATGCTTATCAAATCTTAATCCAAACTCAGATTTGCAGAAGAAATTATGAAAGATCAACTTTTAACCTTAAAACTTAGCTCTCCTCCATCCACTAGCTCTTTGTTCGGCCTATGTTTTTGCAGCTAATGGTTCCAGGAATTAGAAGTGAAATTCTTAGGCGATATATATATCTCAAACACAACAATAACAACAAGCCTTTATTCCATTGCGTGATGTTGGCTACATGAATCTTTTTTCTTCATTGTGTTCTATTCAGAATCAAATTCTCATTTAAAACTAATAAAAAATGTCATTTTTAATACTTTCTAACTATACACACCTATAAACCTAATATTTTTTTAGTAGAAATGCAGACGGTTCTAC